TACAGCTTAATCATAACCATGGTCGAAGTTCTTGTTCATTTTAATGGAACGATTTCCATGTTGTTCTTTAGGATAGCAGACTGAAATCTTACAAGCAAACCTCTCTGTACTCCAAAACAGATTCTGAGATTAGTGCAAATTTGGTAATGCAGCTTCAGAGGACTAAAGGAATTTCACAAAGAATCAAGAATGACTGCATGTTTTTTTGGATATCACAATAGCATAGTTTGTAGTTCTTTCAAGTGAAAATCAAAAACACTGCCTTATTTAATTTATCAACATGTGTTTGAATCCAATAGTGTGCCTTCCTTATTAGTGTTTAGATTTGGGTGGAGCTGAAAAAGATTGTTCAACCTTTTGGAGAGTGATAGGTTGGAGAATATTGGTCCTTACTTAACATAGAAACTGGGACCTGTGTTTTGGCAGTGTGATTAAACAAAGATAAACATACAATATTCAAAAATATGGCTGTAAATTAATCTGTAACATATCCTGCAGGAATTAATTCTACAGGGACTTCCACAGGAGCAATAACAGGGAAAGAAAATAATACTTTGCCGTTGAAAGATTTGGATGAAATCTTTTCATCCCTAAATTCCTGGGTGTAATTACTCCAGAATCACTTCAACATTGGTCCTCACCCTATTACTGTTGGCGATCAGCAGTCCCTGGAATTTTTCATAGTTAGTCTACAAAAGGTCACTTAAGAGTTCCACCTGGGAGTTGAAAGCCTACAAATTCAAGTTATAAAAAGCCAATCGGCTACAACTTCACTCCTACCTTAATATTTAAGTGTCCTCATCTGGACCTCCATGCGTTCATACCTCTCTGCACGATCCACATCGCGCTGCCGAGCCCTCCTCATAATTTCATATCCCTATGCAACCAAAAAGGTAATATTTAACATAATACTATAGGGGGCAGAGGAGAAACTCCCAATTTTTCCACGTTTGTATTTTTGCTATAGCTAAAATAGCTGTTTTAAGAAATAAAAATATTTCAATTTCTTAACAAATAAGCAGGCATCATCAGATGGAGAAGAAAGCACAGTAATTTCTATAAATAGATATATGTAAACTGTTCTTAAGCGGCTTCAAACAGATGACAAATTTATGTTCTGAAAGGTAGAAAACTTTCCAGTATGGTTGTGTGAACACTTCTTTAAAATTGTTCGTCCTCCATTCCCTTGCCTATGCCTGATAACCAGAGAGTGCGATGGACAGCTTTAAAAAGCAAAGTAAGGTTCACTTTGTGTTTGCCAATCCATACATACATCTCCAAGTTAAAAACAGTTTTGGGTGATAAAGGTTGAGTGACAAGTGCCAAATAAACTGAGCTGGGATAAAGAAGTTTGCCATAAGCCTACAGCTGTCCTTTAAAAGTCTGTTTCAATCTGAGATTGAGTTGGATGAAGAGAATACAATTTACTTGGAGGACAGAAAAAGGCCACTGTCAACAAAACCCTGCTACAGGGTGGATAAAAATTGATTTAAGAAAATAATGAATTTGGATTTTTTAAATTTAAATCAGATTTATTTAAATCAATAAATAAATCTGGAGTAAAAATCTATCTAAAGATAGTTTTATTTATTTATTATTTATTTATTATTTCAATTTATATGCTGCCCTTCTCCAAAGACTCAGGGCGGTTTACAATGCACTATAGCAATAGCCTTCATTCTTTTGTATATACCTGCTTATTAGGGCTTTTGGCCCCCCATAAGTGGTGTTTTTACAAAGTCAGTTTATTGCCCCCAACAGTCTGGGTCCTCAATTTACCTACCTCAGAAGGATGGAAGGCTGAGTCAACCTTGAGCCTGGTGACATTTGAACTCGCACTAATTGCAGGCAGCTGGCAGCTAAGTGCTACATAACAGCACTTAGTCCGCTGCACCACCAAGGCTCTTAATAGTTTTCTATTTAAGATACATTAATTTAGTTTTCTATTTAAGATACATTAATTTAGTTTATTCAGCATGAAATGGAGCTGTTATGTAGCATGAGGCTATATATTCTGCAATATTGGGACTGTCGGTGAGTCAACAGCGGGTCAGAGGAGGAGCTGCTGCAGGACAGGTGACAGTTGCTCTTTAAACATTATGGTTTAAATCAAATTGATTTAAATCAAGCCTTTTTACTAGTGATTTAAATCGTGATCCACCCTGCTCTGCTATCAAAATCAAATCAAATCCACCCTGCCCTGCCATCACCCTTCCAAACTCAAATCGGTGACATTCTCTAGGTGGCTGCCTCGATGAACACTTTCTGCATAACAAAATACAATGCCCTTGTATTCTCATTATCAATGTCAGGGTCACATCCAACTGACATTTCCAAAGTGCACAACACCAGGGTTTAAAAAGAATGGAAATTGTCTCCAACATCCAAGGGTCTGGTTTCTGCAGCATCTGGGACTGTAAGTTGGCTTTATACGTCAGATAGTAAGAAGGCATTTCATTTCTCTATGTCTTCCGAGTGACCTTCTAGGAAATTAATTGAAACAATGAGAGGAGAAAGGGTGAGTCTGAACCAAGCCCGCCACCGGCTTCTTAGGTTAAAGCTTCCTCTTAAGATTCTGCAGAGAAAGGCAGATGGAAGCCGGGGGGGGGGGAGACCCATAGGCAGCAGACATACGGGTTACGGTAACTACTGTGTTAGAGGAGACTGGATTTCTGTTCTAGGGAAGCTTCTCTACTTACATAGAACGCATTTCCGATTCCAAAGAGGGTTGTTGCTATGACGGTATAGAGAGTTTTGTTGTGCCGCCATGCATAGCTAGAGGTGGCCATTTGTCTGCAAGGTTGTCCTTCTGAGGGAGCCTTCCATTGCTGAAAGAGGCCTGGAAACACAATTTATTAGGAGGGAAGATTGTCAATGATGCACTTTCATAAACCATGGATGAAAACAAAGCCAAGCCTCCCACAAGCAGGCTCTGCTCCCATTACAACCAGTTGATAGGCCGAAAAATGACTGATTGACATCATACAGTGGTCGGATAGGCACCAGGTTAGAAAAGGAGAATAATCTTGGTAATATCTCCTTTGATTCTGTAGGTGAGCATGGGACCCTGAAGGAGAAGCTGCTGGCTGGAAGGGAATTGATACACTAATAGAGAAGGCACCCTACCGCTCCCCCTCCAAGCCCTGATTTTTTTTTAGCTCGTTTTAATTTTTGTAATTTCAAATTCATTTTTATATTTACAATCGTTGTTGCACAGCATGTCTTTTTATCCTGATGTAAGCCGCTCAGAGTCGCCTGCACATGAGATGGGCGGCAAATACATTTGATAAATAAATATCTGCCCGCCAGTTAGATCTAATGGGGGGGGGCTCTTCATACGTCCCCTTGATCAGCTATGGGGATCAGTCACCCATACGGTCATAGAAACATGCTTTTTCCAGGTGTCATCTCCCCTCCTCTGGGACAGCATTCCGATGTCCCTTCTTCCCAAACCTCAGAAATTTAGTGAAAACATCGCTCTTTAATCAAGCATTGGGAGAGGGCTGTTGGGACCTGCCTCAAAATGAGTACTCATCTTAATATATAATAATATAATATAATAAATAAAATAAACATAATATAACATAATATAGAAATGCGACTAATAAATAAACATAATAAACATAACTATATACACACATATATATGTGTGTGTATACTGTATATGTATGTATGTGTGTGTATTTGCTGATAAAGAAATAAAGGGAGACTAGTATAGATCTATTACAAGCTATTTAGCTCTCATCAGCTAGTCAAACCCTTACTCGGATTTAAACTTGTAATACCGAGTAAGGGTATGTTAGCTGATGAGAGCTAAATAGCTTGAAATAGATCTATACTAGTCTCCCTTTATTTCTTTATCAGCAAACTATAGATTTGGTATAAAATGGTTTGTCGTGTATGCGACAGCTTGAGGGCTCCTGGATTGGAGCTGAAAGGTGAAAGAGAAACAGTGTGCTTGGTCCCTCCCATATTGGGGTACACCAGGTGCTTCGGCAGAAAAACGCTTCATATATATATAAAGCACACTGCACACTGCTTCCCTTTCGCCTTTCAGTTCCAATCCAGGAGCCCTCAAGCAGTCGATGTATATGTATATGTATATGTATTTGTTATAATATAATTAATATTATAATATAATAATATAATTAATATAATATAATTAATATATAATGTAATAAATATAATATAATATAATATAATATAATATAATATAATAATATAATATGTGTTTGTGTGTGTGTGTGTGTGTGTGTAAATTAAATTAAATAAAATTAAAAGGCACCCACTTCCGACCTGGGCCTGTCACACGACCTTGGCGTCCAGCGGGACAGGCAGCTAGGCCGTTTAGCGGATCCTGCGGAACTCGCGGCCACTGGATTCCGCTCGAGAGGTGGGAGCGGGGGTCCCTGAGAGGCGGGGGGGCGGAGGCTTGGGGGGGGCGGGCTGGGATGAGCAAAATGAGGACCACTAAAAAAGCCCCCAGGCAAGAGATCCCCTCCCCCACCGTTAGGGACAGCAGGACTGGGGGGGGGTTCCCACTGTTTCCACACAAGCCCCTCCCCCTCGACAAGCCCCTCCCCCTCGGCACCTTTTCAGGTTGTCCCCCTCCCGGGGATGCTCCGCTCACCTGGCCCCTCCAGGAAACGCGCCCTTGGGCCCGCCGCCCGCAGCAGGGTAGCTCCCAAGCGGGACATGACGACGACGACGGGGCGGCAAAGCAGCGGCCCTCACGACCTCCTCAGCGGCTCTTTTCTTCCTTTCTTCCTCCTCCTCCTCCTCACGGCCCGTCCTTCCGTCCGCTCCCAAGAACGGGCCCTCTCCGTGCGCACGCGCGCCAACCGCTCGCCCGCTTTGTCCTTGCGCGGGGCGCGCGCGCGCGGGGGGCCACTGCCGGCCTCGCCGCTCTAGGCATCCACACTCTATTCTAGCGCCTCGCGGCGGCGTGCGGGAGGGAGGGAGGGCGTGGCCGGAGGAGCGAAGGGGGCGTGGCCATCCCGGGCAAATGCCAGCTATGCAGGCGTTCCACGCTCGCGCCGCGCGTTGCATTCTCCGCTGCATTCGGGGCTTGGCGGAGCAGCCCGGTGGGGGTCTCCGGCGCAGCTCTTGCGGGTCCCAGCTGCTCTCCACGCCGATCTTCTACGTGAACGGCCCGCCCCACATCGGGCACCTCTACTCGGCCGTGCTGGCGGATGCATTGCACCGGCACCGGCAGTTGCTGGGCTGCGAGGGAGGGCGGCTGGCTACAGGTCTGCGGGGCGATGGGGGAGCCTTGGGCATCAGGGTCCAAGGGATTTTTATTTATTTTATTTTTGCAGCCGCCAGTCTGCTTTGCAAGCGAGGGACTCGGATAGAAACTCCTGGGTGAAGCTTGGATCGATGGGGGGGAAGCTTTTTGGGAAACCCGCGTGTTCGCTTTCACGTGTGGAAGCGCGGGGGGGGGCTTGGAAAAAATAGGTTCATTTCTAACCAGGATGCAAAAAGATCTATGAATGGAGTAGTCTACTTTGCAAGCGAGGGAATCGGATAGAAACTCCTGGGTAAAACTTAGACGTGGAGGAAGCTTTTTAGGGAACCCGCGTTTGCTTTCACGTGTGGAAGCGCGGGGGACTTGTAAAAAATAGGTTTATTTCTAACCAGGATGCAAAAGATCTGCTATGAATGGAGTAACCTGCTTTGCAAGCGAGGGAGTCGGAAAGAAACTTATGGGTAAAGCTTTTTAGGGAATCCACGTGTTTTCTTTCTAGCAAGGGTGCACAAAAGGCGCTGTAAACAGAGAAGCGAGCCTTCTCTTCGTCCTTCTCTTCTATTTGCATTTCCAGCGACGGTTGTTGCCCTGTTTTTTCAACCTGGCCAACTTTTTAAGATGTGTGGCCTGGGGATTTCTGGGAGTTGAAGTCCATTCGGCTTAATTTCCCAGGTTGAAAAACACTAAATTAAGCATGATTGCGGTACAATACATTATGTACTGTGTTGGCGTGATGAATATTGGTGCAAAGAAAAATGGGCCACAGATTATCGTGCCTCCTGTCCTTTGCAATAGTCCTGTTGTAGTTGGAGGCTAGGTTGATTGATGCAAAGCCATGCATTTTATTTATTTATTTATTTATTTCAGATTTCTATACCACCGTTCTCCTTTCAGACTCAGGGCGGTGAACAGCCAAATATAAAACATTCGTACACAAAAGTTAAAATAGATTTAAAATAATTAAATAAAATTTGGCCCATGATTTAAAACATTTCAATTAAAATCAATATCAAATTTTAAAATGACATCCTAACATCATTACACCCCTGATTTTTGACTAATTTGGGGCAGCAAAAATGTAACGGGGAGGGGGGGTGTCTCTCTATAAAGTTTTAGGAGTGATTTTTTTGCTGGGGGGCAATGCCTTCTTAAATAGAATACAAAACAAGATGGCTTTTCCAGAGTGTCTCATTTCCCCCAGAAAATTGGCAAACATCTCTTTTGGTAACCTCACTTTTCTGACGAGTTTTTCCATCCTGACAGATGACATGAAATGTGAATTTAACTAGGATTTCTTCAATAAACCGTGCATTTGTGTGTGAGAAACTCTTAAAAAGTTTTCGTTTGTTGAATATGCTTCCACAACCTCTAAAGCGCTGTTTGTAGGAATGGCCCTTGCTAACACATTTATCTATGATTCAAATTATATATATTTATATGCTCAGCTCATCAATATGAACCTTGGAGTAGCCCTCCTAGCACAGATTGGAGAAGGCTGTCTTTTGACTTCTTCACCAGTTCACCTATCCTGTTTCCTTTGACAGGAACGGATGAACATGGCTTGAAAATTCAGACAGCAGCGGCAGCTGCAGGTATTTCTCCGGAAGAGTTCTGTGACCGTATATCGGCCGAATTCCGGGAGCTCTTCGAGCAGGCGGGCATCTCCTACACCCATTTTATCCGCACTACAGAACTACGGCACCGGCAGGCTGTGGCCTGCTTCTGGGCTGCCTTGCGAGACAGAGGCTGGCTTTATCAAGCTGACTACGAAGGGTGGTATTGCACAGCGGAAGAGAGCTTCTTGGCAGCTTCTCAGGTGACGGAGTGTGTGGATGCCCAAGGGAGCAAGCAGATGGTTGCCATAGAGAGTGGGCACCAGGTATGGTACGATGTACCCTGGCAAGTTCTCTTAGTGCCTTGAGTCATTCAACGTGCTTTGCCTTCACCCATGTGGTTTGGTCGTAGAGTTGTGTAAATCCAGTTATTCTGTGCTGTGCTTTCTCTGCATGTCTAGCCAATAATAGGCAAGCACCAGATAGCATAATATTTTATTTATTAGATGTTTATCCCGCCTTTATTACTTTTTAGGTAATTCATGCCTAATGCACCTTTCTCCTTCTATTTATCTCACAATACCATCCTTTGAAGTGGGCTAGGCTGAGAGAAGGACTGGCCAAAGTCACCCAGCCGCTTTCGTGCCTAAGGCAGAACTAGAACTCCCTGTCTCCTGAATTCTTTGACCACTGCACCAAACTGTCTATAGTAATAACAACGTGTCCCGTATCTAAAGAAATTCAGGTTGGAGAAGCCACATCTAAATCATCTGCAGAGTCTCTGTATTATTCTATTATTATTAGACGCTTATTCCACTTATATGTGTAGGTCAACTCGAGGTGGTGAATGTACCTAATACTCCTGCCTCCTCCTTTTTTCCCCACACAACAACTTCGTGAGGTACATTGGACTGAGAGAATGATGGGCTCAGAGTCACCCAGCTGGCTTTCGTGCCTGAGGGAGGCCTAGAAGTCAACAGTCTTCTGGTTTCTAAGCTGTCACCTTCGGCATTACCTCAGATGATAAGCAAAGATAACCAGAATAGAAAAGGGAATGGCGTGAAGAAAAGAGGTAGCCCAAGAAAGCTATGGAAAAGCAGAGTGAAGGCACCCTTGTGGGTGGCAAGCTTTCTGATACATGCATGCGGCCTTCAGATCTAAAGAAGGAAAAACAGACATTAGTATAAATTAATTTTACATTTATATGCGGTAGCTAAGATGCTGAGCTTGTCGATCGAAAGGTCAGCAATTCAGCGGTTCGAATCCCTAGTGCTGTGTAATGGAGTGAGCTCCCGTTACTTGTCCCAGCTTCTGCCAACCTAGCAGTTGAAAGCACGTAAAAAAAAAATGCAAGGAGAAAACATAGGGACCACCTTTGGTGGGAAGGTAACAGCGTTCTGTGCGCCTTTGGCGTTGAATCATGCTGGCCACATGACCATGGAGACGTCTTCGAAGAGGGCTGGCTCTTCGGCTTTGAAACAGATGACCATGTTGGCCCCCTAGAGTCAGGAACAGCTAGCATGTATGTGCGAGGGGAACCTTTATCTTTTTATAAATGCTTGGGTAAATACATATTGTATGGGAGAGGCTGATGAAACCAGGAAAATCCTTCTGATAACTTCTCTCCTACATCTTAGGTGTACTGGACGAGGGAGAAAAACTACATGTTCAAGCTGTCCAAGTTCCAAGAACCGTTGCAACAATGGCTGTACGAGAATAAGGACGCCATAAGCCCCGAGCCTTATTATCAGCAGGTCCTCCAGTGGCTGGAAGGGGATCTCCCGGATCTCTCTGTATCCCGTGACCGAAACCGGCTGCACTGGGGCATCCCTGTCCCTGGGGACTCAACCCAAACCATCTACGTCTGGGTGGATGCCCTGGTGAATTACCTGACGGTTGTAGGCTACCCCGAGAAGCACCGGGCCTGGTGGCCCACCGTTTGCCACATTGTGGGCAAAGACATTCTCAAGTTCCACGCCATCTATTGGCCTGCTTTGCTGATGGCTGCAGGCCTGGAGCCCCCCTTGAGGATTTGGGTCCACTCTCATTGGACGGTACAAGGACAGAAGATGTCCAAGAGCCTGGGCAATGTGGTTGACCCAAAGGAGTGCTTCCGGCACTACACGGTAGATGGTTTTCGGTACTTCCTGCTGAGGCAGGGAGTCCCAGAGCGGGATTGTGATTACTATGACGAGAAGGTGATTAAGCTGCTCAACTCGGAGCTGGCCGACGCCTTAGGGGGGCTCCTGAACCGGGTCACGGCCTCTACCCTGAATCCCAGAGGGACTTATCCCATCTTCTCCGAGACTTGCTTCCCTAGGGACATGGAGATTCAAAGTGGATCTGGCAAGGCCTTAGCAGAGGATTACAAGCTGGTGTCATTGGTCGAGAGCCTGCCTATGAAAGTGAGCGCCTCTTTTGACCGCTTCCAGATCTATAAGGCTCTGGAATCCATCATGGAGTGCGTGAGGCAGACCAACGGCTTCGTCCAGAGGCACAGGCCATGGAAACTCTGCTTGGAGGATCCCGCAGAACGACAGTGGCAAGAGACTATTCTCCACGTCACTCTGGAATGTCTTCGAGTGTATGGGCTCCTGTTGCAACCGGTGGTCCCGGCCATGGCTGACAAGCTTCTCTCACGGATGGGTGTTTCTCCTACCGAAAGATCTCTAAAAGACTTGGACTTTCTCCCTCGCTATCATGGCAGGAGATGCCCCTTTGAAGGCAGGCAGCTCGGACCGGATCCTGGTCTCCTGTTTCCCAGGCTGAGAAAAATTACGAAGCCAGCAATTAGAATAGAATAGAATACTTCACACACAAGGAATTTGTCTCCGGTGCAGATTCTTAAGGATTTTTTTTTAAAAGAGAAGAACATCAGACTTCTAAGAATGTACAGTTGGGGTGAACTAAAATAAGGGGGGGAAAGGCTTCATATAATATACAACTAACTCAGATCTCAGTTGTTATTTTTAGCTTGATGCGGACTCCATGTGGGGCTACATTTTTTTATATTCTGGTGCCACCTCAATTTCATTGAGGGCCGTATCGGGTGCGTTTGACCTTGGGGGGGGAGGGGGGAGGGGGTGTGGGCATGGCCGGGGTTGAGGGTGACACGCAGGGCCGGATTTTCCTATAGGCTAACTAGGCTTCAGCCTAGGGCCTCAAGATCAAGAGGGGCCTACATTCAAATTGTTAGCAAAATTAAAATTACACTTTCACTATAGGTGAAAGGACCTCATAAATGGAATAGCCTAGGGCCTCTTTTCATCTAAATCCGGCCCTGGTGACACGGGACTTGTGTTGGGGGCACTTTTGGTGGCCATGTGCTAAAGCAGAGACCCTTTGAGACCCTCACTCGCATTATAATCTTCCTTTTTCCTTCCCTCTTCATTTTCCTTTTTTCTTCCTTCCCCTCTTTCCTTATTTTTCCTTCCTTGCTCTCTTCCCAATCTTTCCTTCTTTTTCTTTTTCTTCTTTCCGTTTCTCCTTTCCTGTCCCTTCTTACACGCTCAAATGCATAAGGGGAAATATATCTCCTTCTGTTTTGCTTTTAGTTGGTTTTGCTAGCCTGCCAGCGAAAATGGAGCCCCCTGAGCTCCGTTTTCTCTGGCAGAGGCACCGCAGGCCGATCCTTCGCCATTTCCAGGCCGGCCCCATGAGCCAGATCTAAGCACCCCAATGGGCCGAATCCAGCCTTGAGTTTGACTTGAGTTTACCGCTGTTCTAGTGTAATTCACTTGAATTTTGACACTATGTCTTCTCAAGGTGTATGGAATTAAGTAAATCAACTAAAGAATGAACGTTGCACTCAACAACCAAAATAACCCTGTTGAAGGAAAACAACCTCACGTTAAGCCCAACGTTAAAAGGTTGAAAGTATTATGGTTTGAATTTCACCACTCGTTGCCAAAGCCTTCCCGCATTGCAACAAACCACACAATCCTTGATTGTTCCCACAGATATTTATTCTTTCTACACATGCATTATTATTGTTTCACCCTCTTGCTTTTCTGTTCTAGAGTTTTAAAACCCATATTAATTGCTTGATTTATTTACCACTTGGAAGAGCCGGAGGAGACGAACGATCAGATGTAGTTTTGAGGTGATATATATTCCTGTTGTGCTGTTGGAACTCCTGTGAGAAGATTTAAAGAGGCTACAAAAAAAAGCTGAAACCAGAAAGAGTGATTTCTACTGCCTTCTTATTGAGTGATGAAATGCCATTTTTACATGTGTGCATTCAATTTATGGGTGCTATAAAAGCCTTTATAGCAGCTAATTCTGGAAGCTGTAAGAGATGAAGTAGTTTTTTAATTTCTCCAGAAGGCAGTTTGTTGGCGCTCGTGTAATTAAACATGGGCATGAAAATAAGTACTGAACGTTGCAAACCTAACCATATTTATTCCAAAATTCTTAAAATGGGAGGCATTGGTACATTGGTCTTTAAAACTGCAGCTTGAAATCTTACAAGTGAACCTCCCTGTACTCTAAACATAAAAATCTGAGATTAATGCAGTTTCAATGGGGCAAAATAGCTCCAAAAGGCTAAAGGAAGCTCATAAAGAATTGAGAATAAACAGAGCCACTCACTAAGGCCCCAAAGTGATAAACGTTTCCTCTCTTAATCCTTGGCAATGATTTCTCCAGAATCTTTCCAAAATATTCTATTAAGTTATTTTTTCATTGTGCCAGAAGGGAAAATATACGAAATTAACAGCCAGTAAGTGTATTAGGTGTAGCTAATACATTTTTTTTAACACATCAATGTGATTTTTCTCCCCTCTCTCTAGCATTACCTCAGAGATCAAGTGTTCATTCATTTCTAACGGGATGTCACCTAAGTGTTATTTTCAGGGTGCAATTCTCACCGTTCAGGACCTTTTAAAGCTGTGCTTAAAAACTGGAAAATTATGATTAGGAAAGCAAGCATGCCCCCCATTTTATTATTAGACACTGTGCCTTAAGTAAAATGCCCTGCCTCTCTTCTTCCTACTGAATAAAGCTGAGGAGGGGCAGTCTGGCCCCCAAATATTGAGCTTCTCCTCATACCTGTTCAGTGTAACATGACACCCCAATTTGGTATCCTCTCCTTTCCCCTCTCCTTGATTTTAGGAACCTGCCAGGGGTGAAATGCTACCAGTTCGCTCCAGTTCAGGCGAACCGGTAGTGATAAAAACTACCGGTTTGGGCAAGCTGGTAGTAAAAAATGCTTTTAAAAAGTAAAAAAATAAAAAGGTTCCAAGGATCACGAGGCTATTCTATTCTATTCTATTCTCTATTTCCATTCTATTCTCTTCCCCCCCTCTCTCATCTCCTCTCCTCTCTCCTCTATTCCCATTCTCTTCTCTTCTCTTTCTCTATTCTCTCTCTATTCTCTATTTCCCATTCTCTTCTCTTCCTCCTATTCTATTCTATTTCCATTCTCTCTTCTTCTCTCCCCTCTATTCCCATTCTCTTCTCTTTCTCTATTCTCTTCTCTACTCCCATTCTCTTCTCTTCCTCTATTCTATTCTCTATTCCCATTCTCTCTTCTCTTCTCTCTTTCTCCTCTATTCCCATTCTCTCTTCTCCTCTCCTCTCTTCTCTATTCCCATTCTCTTTCTCTATTCTATTCTATTCTCTATTCCCATTCTCTCTTCTCTTTCTTCCTCTCTCCTCTATCCCATTCTCTTCTCTTCCTCCCATTCTCTTCTCTATTC